TTCGGTCGATTTTCGAACGTGTTCACGTTCGGTCATATGCGTTCGCGTTCGCCGGCCAAACGCGAACGGAATGCTACGTAGGTCATATATATGTCGCACAGTAATGTGTGTAAGGGCTTGAATGTGAGGTTGTGGATTGTCGCAACATTTGCAATTATGTATATGTGTGTCACCGCCAAAAGACCTGATTTTATACCGCGTGCCGGAAGGCAAGGGAATCGATTCCGTAATTGATTTTATTTTTGCACAAGTTGAAAAACACGTGTCTGGGAATAAAATCAATTACATAATCAATCTTATTTCGACACTTGTCAAATCGAATCAATTACATAATCGATTATGTCTTTGCATAAACGAGAAAAAAAAAACACCATTAAAAAATCTTTAAAAAAAAATGTTATACATCATTGGATTCATTGCACTACAAGCAACATTAACACAAATGTTATCTAAAAAATTGCATTCAAAGTTTAGGAAAAAATACAACATAAAAAACAAACAAAGAGGGTTTAAAAAAATATATATATTTGCTGTTTGTTTATCTGTTATTTATTTTCTAAGATTTGACTACAAATTGCGATAATGTTTATACAAATGTTCCATCTATTGCAATGATGATATCATATTTGTTTTTTCAAGCTCGTTGAGTTTTGTTTTGTTTTTATCTGCGCAAAAAAAATCAATTGCATAATTGATTGAATTTAACACGTGTCGAAATAAAATCGATTACGTAATCAATTTCATTCTTACATGTGCTACATTACGGAACATACACGTACGGTATCTTTCCTTACTAAACGTATAGGTAATATCTGTACGGGAACCTGTACGTCTTGTATGCCCTTGTACGGGGAAAAAACAAATCATCGAAAAAATCCGAAAAAAATTAAAAAAAATTAAAAAAAAATGAACAAGCAACATTTGACTAAGCGTCATCTGCAAATTCTTATTATAGTTTGAGGGGAAAAAAAAATTGTACGAGCCTCTAGCGTACGGGTACAAGTCGCAACGTAGCACACGTGTTTCTCAACTTGTGCAAAAATTAAATCAATTACGTAAATGATTCTGTTCTATTATGAGGCGTTAAACCAGACCATATGGCAGTGACACACACACGAACATATGTATTGCTCACACACAGTCAACGATATTCAGAATCTTCGTTTAAACTAATTATGAAGTGGACACATTGTGGCAACTTTTTAAGTTTTCAGAATCGGGTTTCAATGATTTAAAAAGTGCCAAAATTTTTGAATGCCCCTTTTTCGAATAATGTGCAAGATTCTGGAAATTTTATAGTGAAGATGTTGAATATTTGTAATCCCCCCCTTATATCCTTATGCATATTGTTATTGGCAAATTTGCAAACTGTAAAGTGTTGAAGATGCTGAAAATTATGAATACCCCCCCACACGCGTCTGGATGGATATCGACGCTGAAGATTCCGAATTTTATGAAGTGGTGAAAATGCTGAAATTTCCTACCCTCCACCCCTTGCCTCCCTCTATTTTGTTTTCACAAGGAGCGGGGTATGCATAATTTTGACCACCTTCGCCATTCAATAATTTCAAAAATTTCATAGTCTAGATTTATATCGAAGTTGAAGATTCTAAGAACTTTGAAGTGGTGCAAATGCTGAAAATTTTTGAAAAACCTGAACCTCACCCTCCTCTCTCCTGTTTTATTTTGTTTTGGGAGCCGTGTGTTCAAAATTTCAGTACCTATGTTAGCGGACCCGTTAACCAATGCTCGTCCTGCTGCTGCAGCAATTTATAACCTCACTACCAACCTTCCCCCCCCAACACACACACACACACACACACACACACACANACACACACACACACACACACACACACACACACACACACACACACACACACACACACACACACACACACACACACACACACACACTACTGCTGTGCCATACAGAGTCACACACACTACATAAACCCCTCCACACATTGTCACCTTGCTGCAGCAATATGTGTCTACTACAGGAACATGGTTGATGCAGCAAGAGGTCTTAGATCAACATACTTTTTATCAGAGGAGGTTATTCCAGCAATGGTCATGTGAATATAGAGGGACACACATGATATTACTGCAGCAGGTCAGTCGCCTGCTACTGCAAAATTGTGTATGTGTTTGTATGATGTTGTTGCAGCAAGCAATAGATATGGCGCAGCAGCATCGTATTGTGTACCCATGACTACTGCATGAACTAACCTTGTGCGAGGAAAGGTTTCAAAAAAATGAAATGTTTTGCAAAGAATATTCAGTCGTTAGTTGCTAAAGGCAGGAGACGTACCACAGCTGCAACGTATGTATGAGTCTGAGTTCTAATGGTGACTACAAGGACTAATATCATGCAACAAGCTAGGAGTAAGGATAGGAACTTTTGCTGGAAAGGTTTTGTTGGTCTGGAACTTTTGTTGCATCGCAACACGGCGGATAGGCGGGGAGCTGAGGAGAGATAAAAAAAAAAAAAAAAAGGGGAGCTGAGCAGAGAATGGTGGGGGAAAGTGTCCGGGCGCAACCAGCAATAAGGAGTAAGGATGCGGGAGGCGGTATTGACCATTCATTTCCCCTCGGTCGTCCCCTCTCCTTCTGACCCGCGACTTTTTTTTTCTCTGCCTTCATCCTACCATCCCTCGTACCTGTTTGGCTCGCACCCCCCTCCTCTCCGCGTTCCAGTTGACGCCATCCTATCCTTCGAGCCTCTCCTCCGCCTTCACCTCAACTAGCCTCCTCTCCCCTCACCTCCGCCTCCCTCCTCCCTGGTCCTTCAAGTTGGTCAGGCGGTGATGCTTTCCCCCACCATTCTACGCTCCACTCCCTTCTCCTCCCCTCTTCTCCACCTCCCTCCTCCTCACTCCCCTCACCCTGTCGATTAAGCAGTCCGGTCGATTGCAAAACCGAATCGATTACATAATCCAGTAATCAAATCCGATTACACAATCATTAAAATTTATGTCATCGAACCGATTATATAACCAACGGGGTGAGGGGACCGGGAAGGAGGGAGGTGGAGGGGAAGGGAGCGGAGTGGAGAATGGTAGGGGAAAGTGCTAGGGTGTGAACAACGTGAAGAAGCAGGGAGGAGGGAGGCAATATCGACAATCCATTTCGTCTTTTCTGTCGCCTTCCCCTCCAACCCGTGACTCTCTTTTTTTTCGCCCTCACCACCGTTCGTCCTACCGTCTGCCCCTCCCCTGTCCCTCTGGCCTGCACCTTTCTTCTCTCCGCCTTCTAGCCGCCTTCATATTATCCTCTCCTCTTCCCCTTCGAATCCCCTCTACCTCAACTGCGGTAGCTAAGGGTCTTTTGGACGCCTTCAACACATGTATTACAAACTGCATTGCATTTTTGCAAGACGTACTTTTCTTGAAAAAAAGACTTTAAGAGTTTTGGCCCCGGTATCTCAAATGTCCTCAAAAGACCTCAAATTTTCTCAATGATCTGTATAATTCGATATGGGACGCTGGGCCCGGTTCGCAGCACATGCTGCTACCCACGAATAGACTGGAGCATTTGTTCATTAAAAAAAAAAAAAAAAAGAGTTTTGCAAGCTGTACAATTTTCTCTGTCCTGTGTTCACGAAGACCTAAGCTTGTTCCTTGGACTATGTATGATGGGCATGTGGCATGTGCTACTGGCTTTGAGAATGGAGGAAATATTGGAACAGCCTTGTAAAGAGAAGCTAGGCTGGGAAAGTGCTAGACTAAGTTTACACACCGGTCCCAAGCACACAATCATTTTTACGTCTTTCTTAAATTTTGTGTTTTCTTTTTTTTTGTATGACATTGTCTTTTCTGTACTATGTCTTCTTTTACGTTTTCGAAGTCTTTTCTGGTTGTATAAGTGAGCGGCTCAAAGCAGTGCCAATTTGCCAACTAGTTGGTGGTTCCTTGTTTGGTATGCTGCACAATTAGGGGGCCTGTTCAGTTCTGTACCTCAGTGGAGGTGATGACGAACATTCGTCGACGTGGGCTCCTCGCTCAGCAGGAGATGGGAATCAACAGCCTGTGGGGTTCGACTTGTGGTGTGAATATGTGATGGATTGCTTTGGTCCCTGTTGGATGTGCCGACTGCCTTATCTGTGCTTCTCCACAGCCGTGCTGCTTGGCATGTCTTTCCCTGCAGCCTTTCTGGTTGCCTTGCAGTTGTCGGTTGCCTTGTCAGTGTTCTTTTATGCCTCGGCTGCCTCGCTGCATAGCTCCCTTGCTGCCCACCTGCAAGCCTTCTCTTCCCCCCCAACCTATGTGTTGTGTGTTCAGCAGTTTTTCGGACTATTTTCAGCACTGGTCTGTGCTACGTTCTGTTGTTTTGTGCCTTTTGTTCCATGCTGTTAGTTTTGGTGGCTGAGCAGTTGGGCTGCCCCAGCTCAGTTGCCTGGTGCCTTCGCGAAATTGACGCCTTGCTAACGTCCCTTTTGTTCCATGCCTGGTGTCTTCGCTAAATCGTTGCCTTTTTTTTTTTTTTTTTTTTTTTTTTTCCGTTGCCTTACTGTCATGCAGTGTTCACTTTGTGGTGTTGTTTGTGGGCTGTCCACTTTCAATAAGCCTGGTGTCTTCGCTAAATGGTGTTGTTTGTGGTGTTGTTTAACTGGCGGTTTGGCCGGTTTGCCTTACCCTGGGCTCCGAAGGCCCTGTGGTCGGTGTCTGTTTTTTGCTTCGTATTTCCCTCAGGAGTTTGCGATTTTGCGATTTCGGGACCTGCTTAGGCCAGGGACGCGGGTTTTTCCTTTTTTTCTTCGGCAGTTTAAGGCTTCGTAGTAGGGGCCCTCGGTTGGGCCCGGGGGGGCGCTGTCTGATATGCCAGGCCTATGGCTGGATGAACGCCGCCGGACCCCATCGGTGGCACATCCGGTTTCCCACCCACCCGACCATTTTACGGTTTCCCGCCAGGAGTCTTGCTCTGGGTTTCTGACGGCTGATGCTTTTTTCAAACGATTACATCTTTGCTTCTACTATATCTGGGTTGACACGCTCCCACGTTTCCTCTTTCATTGATGAGTGCGCCTGAGTGCTACGGCATCGCTTGACGACCCGGCTTGATTTCCGTGACGGGGGACCTGTCGCTGTTCGGTTTGAGGGACTTCTACCATGAGTAGCGGCCTTTCTCCCAGGATGGGAACGTGCAGAGCACTTTCCTCAGTAATGGCGCTGTCGCGCCTTCTGCCATGGACGGTTTGAAGGGCMTATATGGCCGATGTTCTGCGATGTGCGATCAGAGTGCTTCTGGAGCAAGCTCTTCGGTGTTAATGGCGCTATCTACCCTATCCTGGCGGAGTGGAGCGCCCGCTCTTTCGTGCTACCTTGTCTTGGCTGTTTTTCCTGTGTGTTTTTGTTCCGTGTTGTGTGGCTGTCTGTGCAGGAATCTGGATCGATCTTTGAACCAAGTTCTGCTCCTCTTTTCCGGAAGAATGGGGTTCTGCCGCGTGTTTTTGGATTTGGACGCTCTATTACGCGGGGGAGATCTGGGTTTCTTCTTCTTAGTACTACCATCGGAAGGATGTCCATTAGTAAAGTTCGCGTGTACCGGGGTAGGATAGAGCATAAAAGGAGGCAAGGCTATGGGAATGGTCTCCTTCGTCGAACTGTTTTCGATGATGCAAGGTACCTCCTGATGACGCTACTGGCGGGGTAGCAGAAACGCGTCGAGGAATCCGCAGTTGTGTGGAATGATTTGGTGGTGTGGGCTTCGGCTCCCTGGTTTGAGGGAATTTTTTGGCCATGAACTTCAGTTGTAATCTTTCGTTTTGGCATAGCCAGGTGCTTCATGTGTAATCCTTTGGCCATGGTGTGTTGCTTGTATTGTCATACTTGTTTCGTTTTGCGTGCGTACAGGATCATGTCTTGTGGGTGAATTTCTCTATCCTGGATCATGCGAGAGGCTATTTGCCGACAGTTCCTCTTCTCTTAGTAACACGGTATYCGTGAATGCGGTTGAACATTMGTTGGTGGCCGCGCCTACGACTTGATGGGGGGAGGGTTGGTGTGCTATACGTCCTTTGATTTCTCTGTTTCATTTGGAGTGTTCTCTGCGCAACTTGTTGTCTTCAGGCTAGTCCTGTTCATCTTGGACGTGCGTTTGCTCCTGTTTTACTTTAGGATTGGTTGGTTCTCTTCCGTAGTAGTATGACGCGTATCCTCTTGCGGTGTGCTTTTCTTATCGAGGATCACCTCGTCCGGGTGATTATTATGTACGACGAAGAGGTTG